GTAGACTTTCTAACATGCACCCACTTCTTAGGGGTGTTGGGAAGAGTAAGTGAATAAATATCGTGAACACTTAGAACACGTAGGACAGTGCCCGGCACATAGTAAGTGCCGTGTTACCTATCACGCCTGCCCTTTCAGAATTTGCTTTCTGGGCAGAAAAATACAGGACACGCAGAGGGAAAGGTAACTACTGGTGACGTGTGATAAATGCCAAAGGACTCCAGTGGCCAGAAATACTGTGGGACCACAGAGAAAGGGGCGATCGCTGTGGCCTGGGCATTTAAGAAGGACCCCCGCTAAGCTCCCTTTAAGCTCAAGTCTTGAGGCGTGAACACTCGGCGGCCCCACTTTTGGGGACAATTGATTGGGTTGTAATCCTCTCTTGAGACCTTGGATTCTAAGGCACCTGCCTGACACTTGTGATCCCTTCAGATATGATTATTTTTAAATATATATTTTTATTGATTTCAGAGAGAGCAAGGGAGAGGGGGAGAGAGAGAAACATCAGTGATGAGAGAGAATCATGGATCGGCTGCCTCCTGCACGCCCCACACTGGGGATCGAGCCCCCAACCCAGGCTCGTGCCCTGACTGGGAATCGAACCTCAACCTCCTGGTTCATAGGTCCACGCTCAACTACTGAGCCACACCGGCCGGGTGATTCCTTTAGCTATTAAAACGAGGTTGACCAGATAGCCCCCCTCAGAGTGGCGGCAGCAGCAGCTCATCCCTGTCCTCATCTTCATCACCACCATCATCATCACCACCAACAGAGCCTGCGAGGCAAGGTCCCATGGATAACGTTGCTTCGATGAAGATTTTAAATCTGTTTGTTTCCAGCTCCAGGTGGGATAGAGAAGAGCCCTTTGGAGAGGAAGGTGACCTCTTCCTGACTCACAGCTTGCCTGGCGGTCTGACAGTTTGGGTTGTGTTGTCACAACGCCCAGGATGCATTGGTGTTGGCTTTTGCGGAACAGGTGAGCAAATTCAACGTGTGCTCTCTCCACCAGGAAAGGACCAAGATAGAAGATGATGGCTTGAAGGCGGGCCCTCAAGCATGCACGCAATCCCATGTGGAACTGTGGGGTCTCCTCGCCTCCAGCCCCATCCTGACCGCCTCTCCCTGGCTCTGGGCAGGACCCCCCTCCCCCTGCAGCTCCCTCCCGTCTGGGATTCCCATACCAGATGCCCGGTCAGAGGCTGGCCAGGGCCACATCTTCTGAATTCCCTTCCATTGTAAGTAGAGTCGACCTCCGCTGTTGGCTTCCACTGTTGGGCGTGGTGGCGGTCTGAGTCATCACATGAGTGATTGGTGAGGTGCTGAGGACCGTCCCTTTGCCGTTGGGACACAAGAGCCACAGGAGAGTCCCTGGAAGGCGCTGTGTGATGGTGGCAGCTTTGCGAAGGACGGCTTATTAACTCTGCCACGGGCATGCAGACACCCATCCATGGAGGTGCACAGGTGAGGATATATATACATATGTATTGTCTACCTGTGAAATGTTCTGTTAAGACATCAGATGAGATGGTACCTCCAAGAGCAAGGGAAAGATTGGCCCTTATTATGGGCTGTTTCCATGGTAGCTGACTCCCCCCAGGCACTACCCTAATGACGAGTTATTACTTTTCAGCTGAGACGCGTTGTAGGGAACCGATTAATAATATAACGGGCCTGGCAAAACAACAGGTTAATTTTTCTTTCTTTCGTTCTCCGATGGGAACACACACTGATATTATGTGATCATTTATCTCCATGGCTGACTTACTCCGTTAGCTCTTTCTTCACGGAGTTAACAGAGGAAGGGAAAAGGAGGGTATATGGACCCTCAGGCAAAATATACGAGTAGGTGGCAGTGTGACCGGACAATCCATGGGCCCGTGTTACCTGTCGCGATTTGAGCCAATGCAGCAGAGACAGGGTTGAGTCCTAGATGAGCGTTTATTCCAGTCCTGCCAGCAGCGTGGGAGAGCGGCAGGGCACCCACAAACATCTGCTCTGCCCCCCCCCCCCCCATCAGCCAGCTGCTTATATAGGGTAGGAGGATGAAGATGACATGGGGAAGTAGGCAAAAGGGTTATGCCAAACGGGCAGTTCACAGGTAATGGGGGCTGGAGATTTGCAAAGGCCTGTGGGTGTGCAAAGGCGGGGGGTCTTCAGAGGGCTGGCGGCTCTGGTGTCTGCAACGAGGTTGTCAATCTTTCCGTGATCACAGGCAGCGCCCGGATGGGGAGGAGGGGCCGCATGTCCAGGTGAGCGCCAGGCCCACAGGCTACTCCCAGCCAGGTTAGGCTGTGCCCTCTCCAATCAGAACAGCACCATCGCGGCTAACAGAGCGTGATGACTGTTCCTTACCGTCCTAGCTGGTCCCCAACAGCCTGTTTCTACCCCATTAGCATCTCAGATGCTGCCCTGAGAACCAGGGTTGTAATCAGCGAAGTCCCTTTTAGAAACGCCATACGAGCGCCCAGCTACTCTCAGGGCCTGGCCTGGCCCTGCCTGTGGGGCAGAGGTGGGGACGGGGGTTACTACAGACAGGAGCCCAGGCAAGACCATGGCCGCTGCACAGCTAAGACGCTGATGGAATTCCCTCTGAGGAATTAGGGGTACATTTAGTAGCTTAAGGGGTTAAATCCCCAGATTTCTTGTTGTTTCCACATTCCTAGGATTCCTTCCTCTCCCTCCTTCAGAATCCCACTCCCCAGGCAAATCTTGACATAGGAAAGACGTCTAACTTAAACATCATCAACCCAGAAAAATAATCGGGAGATCGATTCCACATGTGTATGTGGGGATAAAACTGTTTTAATTCCCCAAATGTATACAAATCATTTTATCATCTTTGAAGTGAAGATTTTTCGGGCCACATATTCATTAGGTATAAAGACTGTATAAGGGCCCGGCTTGGCTCAGTGGTTGAGCATCAGTCTGTGAACCAGGAGGTCAGGGTTCGATTCCCGGTCAGGGCACATGCCCGGGTTGTGGGCTCGATCCCCAGTTGGCGGGGTGCAGCAGGAGGCAGTGGATCAATGGTTCTCTCTCATCATTGATGTTTCTATCTCTCTCCCTTCTTCTCTGAAATCAATTAAATATATATGTGTGTGTGTGTGTGTGTGTGTGTATACACACACCGAGTGGCCAGATTATTATGACCACCCCATCAGTACTTCATTGACACTTCCAAAAATACTGAATATTGAAAACTTCCTAAGCAAATACTCTCAAGGTTTTATTATTATTATTTGCATAACTAATTCACTTCATTGTACTGATGGGGTGGTCATAATAATCTGGCCACTCGGTGTGTGTGTGTGTAACAAATGGCAGATAAAATTATAGTAACTATTTTCCATCTGCCCCAGCACTACTCATACGTGGAGATTGAAAATCAAGCAAATGGAAGCCTGCCACTATTTTCTTAGTTACAAACAATATATCTTCCAAAGTGATCATGTATATATTTTATGCAACTGATAAAGTCAGAGGATAGAGAATGTCAAATTCTATTAGTAGGTTTGTTAATATCATAATCCAATTCAATTTAAAGTTCAAAAGTGAACCAATAGAGACTTTTGTCAACAAGTACTGTTTTCGTTGGACCAAAGGATGTTCACGATTTTATTAAAATGGAACGGAGGCTTATTTTTATAACCGCTTGTAAAAAGGAAGACGTGCCAAGGTAAGTGATGTAGAAATCGCTTCAAGTAGATCATAAAAAAAGAAAAAGTAGTGACATGTCTGCGAGAAGGGAAGGGAGTGATGTGTTTATAGTAGCGAGAAGCACAGCTATTTTTTATGGAGCTGTAATGGACATAGATCACATTAGCTTCAGGTGTACAGCACGATTCACTATGATTTCTCACGCACTGAGAAGGGATCACCTCAGTCAGCCTAGTAACATCCGTCATCACAAATAGTTACACTTCTGTGTGTGTGATGAGAACTGTCAAGATTTACTCTCTCAGTAACTTTCAAGTATATAATACAGTATTGATAACTGTAGTCACCATGTTGTACATCACATTCCAGGACTTATAACTGGAAATCTGTACTTTTTAAAAATATATTTTATTGATTTTTTACAGAGAGGAAGGGAGAGAGAGAGTTAGAAACATCGATGAGAGAGAAACATCGATCAGCTGCCTCCTGCACACTCCCTGCTGGGGATGTGCCCACAACCAAGGTACATGCCCTTGACCGGAATCGAACCTGGGACCCTTCAGTCCGCAGGCCGACGCTCTATCCACTGAGCCAAACTGGCCAGGGCTGTACTTTTTGACCATATTTACCCTTTCATCTACCCCCCTCTTCCTGTCTCTGGCAGCCACCAATCTATTCTCTGTATCTATGAGCTCAGAATTTTTGTTTGCTTTGTAGACTCCACATATGAGTGAGATCCTGTGATATTTGCCTTTCTGTCTGACTTATTTCACTTAGCATAAGGCCCTCAAAGGCCATCCGTCCATGTTATCGCAAATGCCCTCGAACGGTTAAGGCAGACTGGGTCGCCTTCTCAGTTTACCTGGGACATACCCTGCAGTGGGAGTCGTGTGTCCCCGGAAACGCTCATTCCTGGGCGAACCAGGACTGTTATCCTAAGTGAAATAGGAAATAAGGTCACCTGACAATTAGATCAGAGAGGGGGTGCTGGGGGTTTGGGAGTGACAGGGTGGAAATAGTTACCCTGGCCCTGCCGGTGTGGCTCAGTGGTTGAGCATCGACCTATGAACCAGGAGGTCACGGTTCAATTCCCGGTCAGGGCACATGCCCGGGTTGCGGACTCGATCCCCAGTGTGGGGTGTGCAGGAGGCAGCTGATCCATGATTCTCTCTCATCATTGCTGTTTCTTTCTCTCTCTCCCTCTCCCTTCCTCTCTGAGAATAAAAATATATTTAAAAAATCGTTTTCCTGGCCGAGGCCCTGGGACGCACAATGGGCTGAGCCACACAAGCCACCTGTCTCCCTCTCCCTTCCTCTCTGAGATCAATAAAAATAGTAAAAAAATCGTTTTCCTGGCCACGGCCCTGGGACGCACCACGGGCTGAGCCACACAAGCCACCCAATTCCAGGCTCGCAGGAAAGAAGGCAGAGAGGTGACTTTTCATCACCGTTTCTGCAGAAAACAATCAGTGATGATAGAAAATCTTTAGCCACAAAGGCTCAGGGAAGACAGAGGAATCCGACTCGTGTCCCCAAAGAAATAAAACAGCCTTTGCCGATAGGCAGCGGAAAGAGAAACATTCACACGGTTGCCCACACCACGCACCCTATCTCCGCCGCTCATCACAGGTCTCCGGTCGGTGAGCTTTTTGGAAAGAGGTTGACGAGATAAGATCGTTTGGGGGGAAAAACCTTACAAGGAGAATTACTGGCCATCCGTTAGTTTCTCTGCTGGCCTCGCTGCGACTGTAAACTGCTTCCTTGCTAAGTGCCCTTCGGACAAAGGAGCCCGGATTCTGTCCTCACGGTGCCTGGCTCCCGCTCCGACGATAAGTCATGTCAAGATAAGGAAATCCTGTCTCTTTCAAGTTGAAAAGCTGTGATTAAACATGTCATTCGGGGGCTACATGAAAAGGTTTTCCAATAATCGGTTACCCCAAATAAGCCGTATTAGCGCCGGATATCTGCAGGGAGACAAACAGATGTTGGAGACAAGGGAGAAACAAGGCTGGAAATATCGCAAACATTTAAGTGCTTAAAAAAAATGTGCATTTGACTTGGGAGTGAGGGAGGGAGAGATATATGTTTATTTTAATTTTTTTAGTGATAGCCTGATATTGCTTTGATAGGGCAGACTCTTTCCACATAACAGACATGAGCACTGTGAAATTATTGGCAAGTCTTCGAGGGAAACTATGAGATAGATCTGTGCTAATCAGGGCGTGTGACTCGCACAGAAACAGCATCTTGAAATCCTCAAAGCCTCAGCTTAGAAGGCACAGGTAAGCTGTGTCCTGTCCGGGGAGGTGTGAAGGAGAAAGGAGAAGGGAGCCCATTTGGAGTCACAATGATTATTGGTAATTTTTTTTTGTTAATCCTTGCCCAAGGATATTTTCCCATTGATTTTTAGGGAGAGTGGAGGAGAGAGGGAAAGACAGAAACACCGATGTGAGAGAAACACTTTGATTGGTTGCCTCCTGCACACACCTTGACCAGGGCCCAGGCCGGGAGGAGCCTGCAACCAAGGTACGTGCCCTTGACTGGAATCGAACCCGGGACCCTTTGGTCCACAGGCCGACGCTCTATCCACTGAGCCAAACTGGCCAGGGTGGGAACTCAGCCCATTTAGAGTCACGATTATTTTGTTGCACGTTCCCCCTGTCCTTCCTGCTGCTCTTCTCGGTGGGATATGGGGGTCTCCCTGGTGTGATGCCCTCTCCGCGGCTCCAGCTCGGGCCCTGGCAGGGATGGGACTCGGGGTCCCTCCAGCCTCAGCCACGTGTGGGGTCTGCTGCCAGGTCACAGCCCTGGGTGGGCAGCTCTGTCCTGAGCCCGGCCTCCGGACCCCACCACGATGGAGGCCCGTCCTGCCCCGCGGGGCTGGCCTGGCTCTCCACCTGGTCCCCTGTTGGGATGAGGGACTCCCTGTGCCCATGGCGAGGGGCGGGCCTCTTCCTGCCGCTGTGGCTGAGGGAGACGGCTGGCTCTTGTCCACAGAGGTTTCCTCCTCCTGTTTCTGGGATGGCTGTGTGCTTCTAAGTGGGTTTTTAATCTCTTTCCTCTGTGTTGGGGGGAAAGGGAAGTGACAGCCTGGGCTCCATCCAGCATCTGGAAGCTGCTGTCTAGTTGGCTTTCTCAGAAGAGGCACGGAAGACCGACAGGCGGTCCTCCTCGTCTCCTTACACTCCCACCAAGCGCCCTGGCCGGTTTGCTCAGTGGATAGAGCGTCGGCCTGCGGACTGAAGGGTCCCGGGTTCCATTCCGGTCAAGGGCACAGGCCCGGGTTGTGGGCTCGATCTCCAGTGTGGGGCATGCAGGAGGCAGCCGATCAAGGATTCTCTCTCATCATGGATGTTTCTATCTCTCTCTCCCTCTCTTCTCCTCTCTGAAATCAATAAAAATATATATATTTCTTAAAAAGAGGGTTAAAGCAAAAGTTCTTTTCTTAAAAACATGAAATAAAACATGAAAATAAAACCACCTACCCAGCAAAGCTGGGTCATAACAGCAGTGGCATCGCCTAAATGGAAAAGGGTGCAGGGGGTCTGATGGACGCCTCCTGCGGAGCCCTGGGTGGCAGGCCGGGCCCAGAGGCTGGCGACCCGCCCTCCTCCCCCGTGTTTACCTGGTGGCTGCCCACGCCTGTCCCACGTCACAGCCACACGACCACTCACGCCCTGAGAGGCGTCCCCGGTGTCTGCCCAGCCCTGGCCGTGAGCTGTGTTGCTTCACTGGGTCGCGGAGCCAGCTCGTGGGGCGGTTGGAAAAACCATGCTGAGCTCCCTCCAAACCAACGCCCGCCATGCAAGTCTGTGCAGGGCCCCCTTCGGCCCTGCCGTGGGCGGGGGCGCCGAGAACCCGGCGGAGACGATGCGTGACGCGTCTCCTCAAACGGGAAACGTCTGTCAGAGGCATCGTCCGAGGGCAGGGTCGTTGGATGCCATTTACGGTTCACAGGAGGGAGGTCTCCCCTGACAGCCACCTGCCCCAGGCCCTTTGCACTGGCTCTGTGCACCGGAGAGCTGGCTCCATCCCCCAGAGCAGTGGTCAGCAAACTGCGGCCCCTTGAGTGTGGCTCTTCCACAAAATACCACGTGCAGGCGCGCACGTACAGTGTGATTGAAACTTCGTGGCCACACTCAAGGGGCCAAAGAGCCGCATGTGGCTCGCGAGCCGCAGCTTGCTGACCACTGCCCCAGAGAGAAGGGAGGCAAGCCGTGAACCCCCAAGCTGGCCTGTGGCGGTCAGGGCTGTCACTGGGTCTCTCTGGACAGTCTGTGGCAGGGACACGCATGCCCAGTGCCAGGCGGTGCCCACCTGTGCCATCACACACAACAGGAAAGCAGGTGGCCTACCGTGTCGCCTGTGATCCTCGAGATACGTTCTCGGCCTGCCGTTTGCACACTCCCCGTGGCTCGGGTGCGGGCGCCAGAGCTGAAATAAACAGGCTCCGTGAGCAGAGGGACCAGCCTGGGGAGGAAGGAGGGGGAGGTAGGAAGGAGGAACCCCGAAAACACAAGGCATGCCAAGCCACAGGGAAGGCGTGCTCTCATTAGTGTCTGATTTCGGCTGAGGGTGAGGCCCACGCAGCGTCTCTCCGACACGCGGATGCAGGGCCCTTCAAAGGCCCCGGCTTGGGATCGCTCCAGCTCAGCACCCACAGTTCGATTCCGGGTCAGGGCACGTGTCCAGGTTTGGGGCTCGATTCCCAGTGTGGGGCTGTGCAGGAGGCAGCTGATCCATGGTTCTCTCTCATCATTGATATTTCTCTCTCTCCCTTCCTCTCTGAAATCAATAAAAATATTTTTAAAAATATATATCTTTATTGATTTCAGAGAGGAAAGGAGAGAGAGAAATATCAATGATGAGAGAGAACCATGGATCAACTGCCTCCTGCAGGCCTCCCTCTGAAGATTGAGCCCCAGCAACTCAGGCATGTGCCCTTGACCAGAATCGAACCCAGGACCCTTCAGTCCGCCAGCCAATGCTCTATTCACTGAGCCAAACCGGCCAGGGCAATAAAAATATATTTTGAAAAAACCATACACACACCAGACTTGGAGGAAAAAGAAAGATACAATATTTTAAAAAAAAAAACGATGAGAAATGAAGGTTCCTTTTCTTTGCTCAGGAATGAGTTAAAAGCAGACCGTTGGAGTCACGTTTAGTGGCTAAGAAACGAAAGAAGCAAAGGGCGTGGGAGATGGGGAAGGAAAATGAAAATTAAGGGAGAGCAGTAAGGCTGACAAAGGGTTGGCTGAAAAAAAAAAAAAAAAAAAAGCCTGGATGGAGGGGAATTTGGGGCAGGAAGCACGGAAATGAGCATGTCTCCAGCAACCCAGCCCTGGGAAATGCTACTGGGCAGCAAACAAATGAGATTATTGTGTTTTTATTTTGCCACAATATGCAAATGACTCCATTTAGCCGCTAACAGGTTGTTATCGAATTCTGAGAAATCCCTCCGTAAAATGTAATATTTTTGTGACAGAATTATCAGCGGTGCCAGATTGCTTTTCTATTTTGGTTGAGCTTTTATCGGAGCCTCGTCTCTGTCACCGACGCCCAGGTTCCCGGTGACGGCTTTCCTGTAATTTTTGTGTAAGTGAGAAATAACAACGTGCTTAGAGATGTGAGAAATGTGTTAACCTCCCCATTATTTTTCGGTGGCCCAAGAGAATTGGAGGGTGGGCCGTGGTGGGGGATGTCATTATTTCTCGTGATGAATTCTTATTTGTGCTAATATCCCAGAAAGCCCACATATCTATTATGAACCACATCTGTTTGTGTGGCTCCTGTCTCAGTAGCCCCTGCCTCGAACCCTTCGCTTTGAGAAGCGTTTGGCATAACCGACAAAGACTTTGAAGGCCCATGGACAAAGGATTGTGAAGTCACACTGTCTACGACATATTGCTCCTCCTCGCTGGTCTCATTCCAGCCATCGTTAATAAAGGAACCCGAAATCTCGGTTGCCTACCATCTCTACCACGACTCGGTCAAAATGGAATTATGTTTCCTGATTTCCATATATTTCTCTTAAAAAAAAATTTTTTTTTTTATTGATTTCAGAGACAAAGGGAGAGGGAGGGAGGGAGAGAAACATCAATGATGAGAGAGAATCATGGATCGGCTGCCTCCTGCACGCCCCCCACTGGGGATGGAGCCCGAAACCCCGGGCATGTGCCCCGACTGGGAATCGAACCATGACCTCCTGGTTCATAGGTGGATGCTTAACCATTGAACCCACACCAAAGAGCCCACACCAGCTGGGCTCTTTCTTCCATGTTAAAGGTCAATGTTATCTCCCTGAATGGCACTGGTTTCATAACAGACAAAAGTCAAGCTCGATGAACACAGGGATTTTACGAAGCCGGGGCAGAACCGGGCTCGCCTTTGCTGGGACAGGAGCCCAATGGGATGCAGGTCCCAGTTCAATTCAAACGAAAGAGCAACAACTACTACCTTTTTGGTGTCAGTATACGGGGCAGGGTTGGGGGCACACGGACGCTGAAATGACCCATCGTCGATCTGAAACTCGAGGTTCGCCTGGCAACCTGCTTGTTCCTGTTTTTGCTCAGTCGGGCAGCTGGCCTGGACCCCGGGGCAGGGAGCACAGGGGAGACGCCCTGCCGGGCCCACCCACAGCCGCGAGGGTGGCCCTTGCGCGTTACTCCGCCCAGCGGTGCTCCCCCTCATCGACTGAGCAATGGGACAGGGTGGGCAGGTGGCCGCGGGCGCAGACACGTCCAGGATTTGTTTTCAAAACAAACCAGTCATGAAGGAGGCGGCGTGAGGCCGGACACACCCGTATTGGAGGAAGGATAGGAGGCAAATGAGTCCACGTGATCCTAAGGTCCTGATTAATCCCAGGTGCCTCTCGGCTAAGGAGCCCCTGAGGCCTCCAAGACCAGCACCACCTCCCTCGTCGGGGGGAGCAGCGGGGGCTTTCCAAGGAATCCTCCTCACCAGGCAAACCCTGAACTTACTGAACTGGTGCCCAGGGGACAGGCCTTGTCTCTGTCTGTCTGCAGGGAGAGGAGCTCATTTAAAAAAATATATATATATTTTTAGTTTCATTTTAAGAAATTAAAAAAACAAGAGCACTACAAAATAATCCCCTTCAAAATTGCTATATATGTCTGTGTGTTTGTGTGTGTATTATTGATTTCAGAGAGAAAGGGAGAGGGAGAGGTAGAAATATCAATGAATCATCAATCGGCTGCCTCCTGCTCACCCCCTACTGGGGATGGAGCTGCAACCCAGGCATGTGCCCTTGACCTGAATCGAACCCAGGACCCTTCAGTCCGCAGGCCCACGCTCTATCCACTGAGCCAACCCGGCTAGGGCTCAAGGGGTTTCTTAGGGGATGAAATGGTTCTTGTGTGGTTGGCAATAGCCTCATAACTTGACAACACAAAGGACGAACCTTAATGAATTCAAATTTAAAAAGGAATGTTGGGAGATTAAAAATGGTGGTGGGGTAAGTGGGAGCTGCACAGGGGCTCAAGGGGTTTCTTAGGGGATGAAATGGTTCTTGCGCGGTTGGCAATAGCCTCACAACTTGACAACACAAAGGACGAACCTTAACGAATTCAAATTTAAAAAGGAAATGTCGGGAGAGAGATTAAAAATGGCGGTGGGGTAAGGGGAAGCTGCACAAACACGCTCTCAGGACCAAACTGGAGTGACAATTAAACACACACTCACAGAACCCCCGCCCTGAACAACCCACGGAGGACTCGCCGGAGAGAACCCGGTCCCCGAGGATGGACAGTGGCCGTCACTACGGAGAGAGACCTCTCCTTTTCAGAGGAGAAACCAACCCTTTCTTTAACGGATGCGCATTGAGAGAGTAAATAAGGTGCTGAGGGCAGGGGCCAGATTCAGTGATTTCCAGGGATTCATTTCCTAATAGAAAGCCAAGACTCAGCCCGGCCGGCCGGCGTAACTCAGACCTATGAACCAGGAGGTCACGGTTCGATTCCCGATCAGGGCACATGCCCGGGTTGCAGGCTCCATCCCCAGTGGAGGGCGTGCAGGAGGCAGCCGATCCATGATTCTCTCTCATCATGGATGTTTCTCTCTCTCTCTCCCTCTCCCTTCCTCTCTGAAATCAATAAAAAAAAAAAAATTTAAAAAGCTAAGACTAATCGCTCAACTTGTTCTTGAAAAGACTTGGGTATGAGGGAGGGGTGCGGTGCTGTACATTCACTGCTTATAAACACTTTCTTCTCAAAGAATTTTGTCTCTCACTGTCTCCTCTAGGCCGCCCCCACCCCCACCCGCCCCTACTAGCTTCAGATGAGTCATAGAGCTCGGCTCCGGGCTGCCTACCTGCACCCTGAGCCCTCTGTCCAGCCTCCCCTCCCCAGCGCACACTGTGGAGGGGCAGCTGATCTCGGGGTTCCGGACAGACACCAGGAAAGTGCCCCTCCCCCCATCCCATCCAACAGAATGACACCTGAGGTTTGGGGCGGGTTGGAAACACTACAAAAAACCCAGGAATTCCGATGGTTCCCCGCTTTGCTATTCTTTCTGAAACCCCTCCCACTCAGATCGGGGGCCAAACGCCATTTCTGTAGCCCGTAGCCCGGCGCGGGGATGATGAATGGTTCGGTGCCAGGACACGAGACAAGGAGGACAATGCGGGCGCACACAGCCTGCGGTGATTTATGGGGCTCCTCTCTCTGGGCCTTTTCTCTCCTCCCAACACCGTTTCCACTTCTCACTTGTCTCCAATCACCGTTCCCACCCTGAGCGCTTGGTTCCACTCCTACCTTTCCAAAGTTTGTTTTATAAGAAACAACTTTCCCTCGCCCCAGCCGGCGTGGCTCAGGGGTTGAGCGTCGACCCGTGAACCAGGAGGTCACAGTTTGATTCCCTGTCGGGGCACATGCCCGGGCTGCGGGCTCGATCCCCAGGGTGGGGCGTGCAGGAGGCAGCCGATCCATGATTCTCTCAAAGAGCTGTCTCACTGGCAATTGGGCTCAGCCATGGAGCCACGGAGCCACGCCGGGCGGGGCAGAAGCACCTGGATGCAGGGAAGGGGCCGTCTCATCAGGGAAACCTGGGTCCTCCCGGCTCAGCGGGGACGCGCCCAGGGGCAGGCAGGGCGAAGGCCAAGAGTGGGGCCACCTGGGCGAGTGCCAGGAACAGCCAGAAGTCACCATCCCCCCCCACCCCCCAGAGCCACGCAGACCACACCTCCATCTCCCCAGGAAGGAGGCAGGCTGGCCACGGAGACAGCTCCGGGAGCGGGGAGCCACCTGGCACCCCACACGCTCTGATCCGTGTTAAAGGGGCAGCGCTGGTCCCCTGCCTCCCGGGCCATCACCACGGCCGTCCCCCATCTGTCTGCACCTTAGAAACGGCGATGAATCAAGCCCAAAAGATGAATGCCGTGGGCCTGGGTATTTATAGACGCGCCTTCCATGGAGACCCAGCAGGGGGTCAATCTGCCAGAACCCGTATTTAATAACTCCCAGGAACACCCCACCGACTCACCTGGCAGGCCCGGAAAAGGGGTCGCTTGTCAAAGGAACCCCACGCCTCGCAGACCATCGTCACCGCCCTAGACATCAGCCATCCATTTCCCTTTTGTGGATAAACACGGTGCGTGGAATAGGAGCCATGCCCTGGCCGGTGTGGCTCAGTGGATAGAGCGTCGGCCTGTGAACCAAAGGGTCCCGGGTTCGATTCTGGTCAAGGGCACGTACCTCGGCGGCAGGCTCCTCCCCGGCCCGGGCCCTGAAGCGCGTGCAGGAGGCAACCCATCGATGTGTTTCTCTCACATCCATATTTCTCTCTGTCTTTCCCTCTGTCTCCCACTTTCCCTAAAAATCAATGGAAAAAACCCTCGGGTGAGGATTTAAAAAAAAAAAAAAGGAAAATGAGCCGCGACATCGCGAGGAGCCACACGCCTGCTGGTAATGACAGGGCTCCGTTCCTCTATTTGTCATCGGCCCGGATCTGTCTACCTCGGTAGCTGGCACCGCTCCTGGGCTCTTAACAAGAGCGCTTGTAGGGCAGAGGGAGGAGGCAGAGGGAGGCGTAAAGGAAGCCGCCGAAAGACAAGTCCCTCCTGGCCCGCTGGGAGGACACGGCGCCCGGCCCCGGGGGAAGGTACCAGCTCTCTGACGCGCCTTGTCCCCGAGTAACCGGACTGAGATTTCCTGGGCCCTTTCCGCTTCCGGACCTTCGAGCCCAGCGACTGGTGGATCCGACTGAAGGGATGGGGAGGCGTTATTCCACCTCGTTGAGCGCAGCTGTCTGGCGTTGGCCGGCCATTTTCTCCAACAACGAGCAGCTGGTTCCCAATGAGAAAATTCCAGAAGCTGGCTAGTGGCTTTCTGGGAGCAGGTGCACTATGTTTTTTTAAAATATATTTTTTGTTGATTTCAGAGAGAAAGGAAGAGGGAGAGGGAGATAGAAACATCACTGATGAGAGAGAATCATGGATCGGCTGCCTCCTGCCCGCCCCACACTGGGGATCGAGCCCGCAACCCGGGCATGTGCCCTGACCGGGAATTGAACCGTGACCTCCTGGTTCCTAGGTCGATGCTCAACCACTGAGCCACACCAGCTGGGCCTGAGTCTCTATTTTTATCTCTAAAATGAGAGAACTTGAGTAGATGACTGGTTTTAATTTTTTTTTTTTAGACACAGAACTCTTTCATTAATAAAACGTTTGCCCCAAAATGATATTAGTTTCGAATGAGACCCAAACTGAAGCCCCCAAAGCAAATTAGCACGATAATCCAACCAATTCCTAGTGGCTGTCTGGGATGGAACAGAGAGACGAATTCTGTGGCGCGAGAGACGTCTGTGATGAATTAGCGATGTCTGCCGGGGCGCAGAGGGCAGGCGGGCCTCCCGGCGAGTGCCATCCTGTCTGGAAGGTAAATATGATGAAGAGGGGGGGACCTTGCAGGCTCCCCCAGGCAGAGATGCCTGGCCCGGGGTGGCTCTCTTTAGCAAGCCCTCCTGCTGTAAGATTTTGGAGGTAAGCCCTAACCGGTTTGGCTCAGTGGATAGAGCGTCGGCCTGCGGACTGAAGGGCCCAGGTTCGATTCCGGTCAAGGGCATGTACCTTGGTTGCAGGCACATCCCCAGTAGGGAGTGTGCAGGAGGCAGCTGGTCGATGATGTTTCTCTCTCATCGATGTTTCTAACTCTCTATCCCTCTCCCTTCCTCTCTGTAAAAAATCAATAAAACATATTAAAAAAAAAAAGATTTTGGAGTTCCTCCCAGCCGTGCTCAGCCACTGGGATGCTCAATCTTGTAGGCGGAACAATAACAACCCTATGCAATAGTTAAGGCTCCGAAAAGAATTCTATGATGACTTACACAAAAATGGTCCCCACCGAACTCCCAGCAGATAGAACGAGACGAACAACTTTGCACTGAAACATCAACAGCCACTGCGATGTCATTTTTGCCCGAAGCCTCGCTCTAACTCAGATGAGAAATAAATTGGCTTCCAGGAAACCGGTGGGTGCCCGATGGCCGCATTTGGCGGTGGAGCGTCTGGTCTCTCTCACAGGCACCTGCTTCGTGTAATTGACCGTCTCGGGGGAGGCGCTGAGAGCCGCTTTCTGAGGGATGAATGCGTAACGTCCCCCTGCAGAGCCCCGGGAGCAAAACAAGACGCAGCTGGGCGAGGCGCTGAGCACCTTTGGCTGTGCACAGGGATTTGCCAAACTCGGCGATCGATCAGAGGCCGCGGGAACCCATCACTGTGCTCACGAGGTGCCTCGGGACCAACGAGGACGGGGGCTCTCCTGTGAAGAAGTTCCCTCCTTTAAGGTCCTGGGGAGACAGCTGCCGGGATGCTCACCAAGCCTCCAGCGCGAGGCTCTTAGAACTCGGTCCCAGTTCCTCGCCTCGCGTATAAAACGTTTGCTTAAGTAAACCTGCCAAGCCCGGCTGGTGTGGCTCAGTGGTTGAGCATCGACCTATGAACCAGGAGGTCACGGTTTGATTCCCGGTCAGGGCACATGCCCAGGTTGTGGGCTCCATTCCCAGTGTGGGGTGTGCAGGAGGCAGCCGATCCATGATTCTCTCTCATCATGGATGTTTCTCTCTCTCTCTCCCTCTCCCTTTCTCTCTGAAACTAATAAAGATATATCTTTTTAAAAAAGAAATAAAAAGACAGCCCTAACCGGTTTGGCTCAGTGGATAGAGCATTGGCCTGCGGACTGAAGGGTCCTGGGTTCGATTCCGGTCAAGGGCATGTACCTTGGTTGTGGGCACATCCCCAGTAGGAGGTGTGCAGGAGGCAGCTGATCGATGTTTCTCTCTCATCGATGTTTCTAACTCTCTATCCCTCTCCCTTCCTCTCTGTAAAAAATCAATAAAATATATTTAAAAAAAAAAAGAAATAAAAAGACAAAATCCCTATATTTCTCTACCCCCCCCTCCCGCTCCCCCCCACTTTGAACGGAAGCATTGTTATCTCCGTTCACAACAAAACGCTTATTGGACAGCTGGTATGTGCGGGCGCTCCGGGCACAGTGATGGACAGGAGCCACATCCTCAAGCCGGAGGGAGGTCTCCTCCTACTAAGGGTCCAGCATCTGCGATCAAACCCGGACAGATTCCCAAGGCCCTGCCAGTGCCCGGGAGGCGGTCTCCACGCCCCGAGAAGGGCTCAGAGCGGGTTCCCAGGCAGGATGCTGCAGACAGGAGCTCAGCTGGCAGCGCCCGTGGCTGGCTCGGCTGTTTGCAGAGTTGCCTTGGAAAGCTGTCTGGGCGGCTGGTTCTGCCCAGAGCTGCCTGGTGGAGAAATGCCCTGCCCGTGCCTGAGCAGCGTCCTCCTGCCCAGGGCACAGGCAGCCTGCAGAGAGGAGGGAGGGAGGGAGGGAGGGAGGGAGGGGCCCGCCCGGAGCTCAGGCCTCACCCAGGGCCTGCTGCTCCCTGAACCTGAGTCAAGTATGACGTCTAAGGCCTGGGAGCTGTAACGTCCCAGCGGCTCAAGGCAAAAAGATTCCTTCTTGTGCCCGGCCAGTGTGGCTCAGTGGTTGAGCATTGACTTATGAACCAGGAGGTCACTGGCTCAGTGACCTGAGAACCGGGAGGTCACGGTTCGATTCCCGGTCAGGGCACAGGCCCGGGTTGCAGGCTCCATCCCCAGTGTGGGGCATGCAGGAGGCAGCCGATCCATGATTCTCTCTCATCATTGATGTTTCTCTCTCTCCCTCTCCCTTCCTCTCTGAAATCAATAAAAATAAAAAAGATTCCTTCTTGCTCTAGGCCCAGGCCCAGCCCTTGAGCGACAGGGGGCGGGGCAGCTCGCCCGGGAGGCGATCCCCCATTCCCAGGGCCTCCAGGCCGGACCTGGTTGCGGGGTATGGGGTGTGGGTGGGGTGACAGTATTTGCATAGTTGCTCTTTTAGATGTTTCCCACCACTCCCCGCTTTACCCAGGGAGCTGGTTTACAGAACAAATAGCAACGGGTCTGGCCCGTGAGGTGGGGCAGGCGATGGAGGAGGAGGTCTGGGCTGGGATCCTAACTCACAGGATTACCCTGGAGGCTCCGTCGGCCTGTTGTCAGGCTGTTTGATGGAGCCCGAGACCCTGTTGCTAAGTGGTCGGCCACGCGGAGCTTCACCCCCTCCTCCCGCCTCTGCCTCCACGCAGGGGGGTTAGCGGGGAGGGGGCCGTTCTCATGACCCTGAGCCCTGGGAGTTGGCCCCCCAGCTGGGGGTGAGCACCAGGCGGGGCGGTAGCGGGAAGTGGGAGTTGGGGAGCTCCATCCCTGCTCCCGTTTTGTTTCCTGGGCTGGGGTTTCCTTCCTGATGATCTGCTCATTCCTCAGTGTCCCCAACTCTGGGGTTTGCCTCCCTGTCTCCTGGATCTCCTCTCCAGGGGCTCAGGGTTTGCCTCTTGGGGACACATCTCCTGGGCACTGGGCCCCGCTGTCTGCTGGGTGTTGCAGGCACCAGGCTGTGACCAATTCTTTTAAAAAAATATATATTTCTTTATCAGGGTTTGCCTCTTGGGGACACATCTCCTGGGCACTGAGCCCCGCTGTCCAGTGGGTGTTGCAGGCACCAGGCTGTGACCACCAATTCTTTTAAAAAAATATATATTTCTTTACTGATGTCAGAGAGGAGGGGAGAGGGAGACAGAGAGAGAAACATCCATGATGAGAATCATGGATCGGCTGCCTCCTGCACGCCCCACACTGGGGATGGAGCCTGCAACCCGGGCCTGTGCCCTGACCGGGAATCGAACCGTGACCTCCCGGTTCTCAGGTCACTGAGCCATGGGGCCGGGCCCTTTTCCCCTTTGGCAGCATTTTCTTGCCCCTGGTTCCCAGGCTCCTCCTTCCCCTGCTCCCTGGCGTCGGGTGTGTGAGCGCATCCAGCCTCGCGCTCCGACCCGCTGCCGCCTCGCAGAGCTGTGAACACGCAGGGCCTGGAGCAAACATTTCAGAGCCGATCTTCGTCTTCTCTGCATTAATTACCAAATTAATCATTCTTCAGAGGCCTCCGTCCCCCGCTGGTCCCCCCGCCGCTCGCCGCGGCCTCCTGAGCAGAGCTTCCTGGGATGACGTCGCTTCTCTCCGAATCGGCCGCCATCCATCACCGCCTGGCTGCCCTTTAGCATCCAGAGGGCACTTCGGTGTGTTCGCTACTTCCCTGCACTGGGTTCCACAAGTCTCTGTGTTTGGGGAGATGAAGCTGTCTGGTGTCTCGGTGCTAACTTATCTCAAGTCCCCACAAACGGACTCACTCAGTCCCCATCCCTGCCCTTTTCTTTTTAAAAATTTGATTTCAGAGAGGAAGGGAGAGAAATAGAAACTCAATGCTGACAGAGAATCATGGATCGGCTGCCTCCTGCACGCCCCACACTGGGGATGGAGCCTGCAACCCGGGCATGTGCCCTGACCGGGAATCGAACTGTGACCTCCGGGTTCATAGGTCGACGCTCAATCATTGAGCCACCCTGGCTGGGCTGCGTCCTCTAATTCTCGACACGGTTTCTGCTCTCAGAACGGGGAGAACCCTGCACCGTATCATGGTCCCCTTCCCACCGTGGCCTGTGCTCTGTCTCCTTTCTGTCTTACGTTCGATTCGACGTTATGGTTTACCCCTTCCTGGTGCTTTTTCAAATCCCTACAATTTTATTACTTGTGTTTTCTTGTAAGAACACCACACTCTTTACTGATATAAGATTCTAATTAAAACACACACACACAAGGTAAATACTTACCTGGAGCCTCAGTTTACCAAGCTGCAAAATGGGGATCCCACACTGTCCGTGAGGACACCTTTAGGGTTACATGAGGTGGACGGAAGTGCAGGGAGCAGTGTCTGGCGCGGGGCAGCTGTTAGTAGGAACCCGTCACTGAGCGGCATTCACCGGAGACCCCACGTGCCCGAAAGACACTCACAGCCACTCACGCTGTGGACCTCCCATCTGCATTCACCCGACAACACCGCTGCTTGTGTGGACTCTTTCAAACGTTTATTAAAAAAGCAAAATGGACGTTCATCTCGAAAGGAACCGTTAAAAACCAGAAAGCAATACGAAGGTCGTCTCTAGCAGCATCCGGTGGTCAGCCTGCGGCCTGGT